ACTACATGCACGTTACTAATAGTACAGGTACTAACCTTGTGATGGTACAAGATAGTGNAACTGAATTTCTTTCTCAAGAACTAAAGTATAAAAGTGATAATAAATAAATAAATAAATAATTACATACTTGTTTGTGTTGTTTGCATTTCTTTGTTNTCAGTTTCAATTTCAGTCTCAACTTCATCATTTGAATCTTTTACTAAAAATAATGATGATTATTAAACATGTAAACAGTAGCTTCACAAACAACAACATACCATTAATATCATATTCTTCATCATTATTCATTGTATATTGTCCAGTAGGTAATTCATGTAAACCTACAGTGAATGACAATGTACAGTACATGAATATATAATTAATATATACCAATCAATAATGTCATTCACTTCATATCAAACCTAATAAATATCATTAACAATCATTTCACATGATTTCAGGTCGTAGCATGCTGTGTACCGTACAAGATGATTTATTGGTGAGGAATTAATACTGGCGATTGGCGGTTCTATGAAGAAATCGTCAATACAAAATCAGCCATTTTGTTTCAAACTGAGCATGCTCAATGGCAGATTATGGCACATGGCACAAAATCACCAATACAAAATTCACTCCCGCCAATAAATCATCTCGTACGGTATATGATTTAATGGTATAACCTTTACATATAGACTACATTCATGTACACATACACATACCTGACTCAGTGATAGTGTACATACCTGATGCTTCCTTGTGATCTTTGACTTGCTGTAGTTCTAATTCTTGTTGAAGATCATCAACCTTTCTTTGCAGTTCCCTTTTCTCTCTTAGAGCAACTTCTTTCTGTCTCAAGAACCTGGAGGATGTTTGTTCCTCTTCCTTTAACTTCTTTTGTAGCTCCTCCAGTTGTTTATTTGTAAGATCATTGTCTATAATATAATAATGATTGGAGTATCATTAATAACATACAGCACAAAAAATTTTTGAGGGCTATTTGTAAAGATTAAATTGTGCAATAAAGTTTGTGAAAATCAAATCAAAAATTATACAAGATACCATATAGCTGGAAAATTTGGTGGAGAATTAAATTTGGCAGATTGGCGGTTCAAAACAAAACAGCCAAAATTATAACCATCAATAATACAGTGGATTTTTAATTGCATTCAAACCAGAATTAGAACAGCCTTCTATTTCTGGCAACATGTTGCTTAAAAGATCAAAGTAAACACAAATGTTGCTAACAACATGTTGCATAGTGTATGGAGGCCTTAACATCATTGTAATGTACATCTGATGGACTTGAAGATAAGCTTGGTAAATTACAAATTAGTGAAATTGTGAAAATGTAATCTTCAACAACATGCCATATACCATAAGCCACAAATTCAAACAATGCGTATTTTGTGGGGATCATGTGCACCTAATAAACCATGCCCAAAAAAGTTAACTGACGCCTCACAGATTGATCCAACAGAAGTTTTCACTCCACTTGGATTATTGTGTGATCCGTAAATCCCTCCCCTCCATATTATGTGCATGTATTATGCAGTTTACAGAGCATCCAAGTGGAGTGAAATCGGCTGTAATTGGCAATGATGAGTGGATTCCATGATGAGCATCTGATACTGAAAAAAATGCCAAAATGACAGTATTTCTCACTATTTCAGTCAAGACTGTGGAAGGATCGAGCAGCTTAAAGAAAAGACAAGATAGTAAATTGCCAAATTAAGAGACCCCAATAATGTATTTAAGCAATTTTGATGCAAAACCACCTAAGTTTTGAATCGCCAAATTCTCCGGCTACATCATGATATAGAGATGATAAGAACAAGCATAACAGTGTAAAAATATTCCTATAATTGTTTTCACCACCTTGCAAGTACAACTGGGTTCTTATTAAGACTTATGAAGGTTCTCTCTACCTTCTAATGCTTCTAGAAAAGTCTTTAGACAGTATTTCTATATTCTCTATAATGTTCTATGTTAGTATTTCTAAAGGGACTTTTGTCTGATTTTGGAGCAACTTTACAAATTCATAAAAAATCTAATTTTAATTGAAATTAGTTCAAACTTAAAACGCAACATATAAAACATGTATATGTATTAGAAAAAATTATTAAAATGGTGAATTGTTTACTTTTCAATTTTGGCAAAATTTGACCATGTACTATTATAGTACAGGACTAACCTTGTGATGGCACAACATAGTTGAACTGAATTTATACGGTATAGATATATAAACTATACGGTATAGATACATGTGCATGAGTCCAATTATGATGTACATGTACATGTATAGCCACAAATTCCACCCACCAATCACTACAAATTCCTATACTCCAAATATGGTACCTACTAATATCAACTAGTGTACTCCTCCTCATACAATCATTCATGTGGTCTATCAGTAGATACAGTTCAGAGTACTGGACTAACCTTTACTGATATAAGTACATGTATGTACAGTCTCAGTCTCTTGTAATATCTCAGTCTCTTCTTTCTGTTCTACTGGTACTATACAATACAATTTATTAATAATTATTAATAATAAGTATACCATTATGATCTTTAATTAATGACATTAATCTTTCATTCTCCAGTATCAATGCTTTCCTTTGTTCTAATTATAAGAAGAGGTCATTAACTAGTAATTAATAATATGTGTGGGTGTGTACATACTTTCACTTTCATTTTTAAAATTTTGAATTTCACTCTGTAACTCTATAAAAAATAGTATAAATGAATACCATATAGGGGTTATATTTCACTGGAAATAAATTTTGCGAATTTTGCATTACATGATTAAATTCATGAAATTAAATTCCACAAAAGAGGTGTGGCACACTAGGAAAAATGGCTGCAGAAGGTAGGATTTGCGAAATTTTATACCAACAAAATAAAACCCCTATATGGTAGTATAAAATAATGTGTATATTGAAAACATTGAAACCCCACAAGCTACATAAACATGTACATGTACACACACATACACACATATACCTGATTGCATGGGTGATAGTGTCATAGTCATACTGACCTGATACTTCCTTGTGATCTTTGACTTGCTGTACTTCTAATTCTTGTTGAAGATCATCAATCTTTCTTTGCAGTTCCTCTTTCTCTCTTGGAGCAGTTTGTTTCTGTTCCATGAAACTGGAGGATCTTTGTATCTCTTCCTTTAACTTCTTTTGTAGTTCCTCCAGTTGTTTATGAGAAGTGGGTACGTCTATAATATAACAAGGATGGCAATAAACAATAATTATGTGGAGGCACCATATTTACCCAATTAAAAGCCCAGGTTTTTATTATTAAACAGGGAAAAACGTATAAAAAGAATAAAAAACTGCAAAAAGGAAGGGATTGAACTTACAATCATGATGCTAGTGCATAAAACCTAGCATAAATAAACAAAATTAATGGCAGCATATCCATTTAAGTTTAATATAATAATATGCATGGTATAGAAGTACATGTATATGTGTATGTCACACATGCATACACACTTACCTGATTCAGTGATAGTGTAATCACACTGAATTGATACTTCCTTGTGATCTTTGACTTGCTGCAGTAGTTCTAGTTCTTGTTGAAGATCATCAATCTTTATTTGTAGTTCCTCTTTCTCTCTTAGAGCAATTTTTTTCTGTTTCATTAAACTGGAGGATGTTCGTTTCTCTTCCTTCAACTTCTTTTGTAGTTCCTCCAGTTGTTTATGAGTAAGTTCATTCTCTATAATATAATAATGATTGGAGTATCAATCAATAATTATTATTAATAACATTTATATCACTTTATAACCTGATCTTAATTCTTCATATTGTTCTGTCTTGTGTTTCAAGTCTCCAGTAACTTCCTCCTGTTGTTCAGTGAGTGTTGCTAGTCTCTCTTCATATTCCTTTATAACTGGTTCATAAAATTGTAATTTCTCTTTTGTATGAAGTTCCTTTTCTTCCTCTAGTTGCTTTTGAATACTTTCAACTTTCTCCTGTAGCAACATAGCTTGATCCTCATCCTTTTCTGTTGTTCCTATACTCAATAGTTACATTATGTATTATATTAATAATATTGATGTACCTGCTGGTACTTCAGTTGTTTGTGTGGATGAGTCTTGTTTCTTCATGCTACCATCACCTCTAATGACACTTACTCTGACATACATGTACATGTAATGTGATAATACAGCTGATGATAGTCTCTGTACATCTTTAAGTACTGAATAGCTAGTATCTTGATCAACGATAATTGTAATATAGTCAAGTAGTGATGGAACTTTAAAAAGCTCTTTTTTCAAAAATCGACGAAGTTTCATTTTTAACTCCTCAACAGCTCCTTTATATTCCTCAATAACTGCAATAGCCTCCTCTATATTAAACTCATTAACAAGAACCTCCAGCATCCTAATATCATCAAGTGAACTATTCTCACGCACTAATTGTAAAATACTACGGACATCTTTACACTGAGCTAGCCGAGGCTTTAATCCTTTGTTGTATCCACCCAGTACACGTTTGATATCATCAATGGATGAAGACTGAGGGTTGCTCATCATGATTGATCTAACAATGATAAATGGTTCCTCCAGCTTTAATCGCATCAAATAAAGCTCTGTAGTGACACTCTTAGGAAGATAAATCTTGAGCCCTTCAATAAAGTAATTGATGTGTTGTAAATGTAGATCTATACAAAGTGTACATAAAATAATTCTTACCATTCTTATCATCACTCCCATAAATCTCTCCTATACACCAATCATTAGTTACTGGTATATGTTATAATACATGTACTTACTGTAGTCTCTCATGATAGCTCTTCCTATATCAGCAGTGGCTGTAAATTTACATAAAATATCAGCAAATGTCTCAAGTTTTTTATAATCTTTACAGACAGCTGCCTTTATTTCACCCAGTAGTTCTTCTCCTTGTTCATATTGTGGGACGATACTCTCTTGTATAAGTTCTGCTCCACACAATTCTGTAACCAGCTGATGTAATACAGAAAGTAGAGATTGGTTTAAGGTATAACGAGCAAAAATTCTACAAGCAGGATGAACTGAACAATAAATAAATAAATAAATAAATAAATGATGTATTCATTTTTACATTAAACTCACTCTCCGTATCTATTCTATCAGCTACTCCATTCTCTCCTATTTCCCTCAATGCTGATACCAATGAATAGATAGTAGGACACCTTTAGTCTTCTGTACATCATCAGCTTTCTGTAACCATTTAGTAAGACACTCACGTAGACGCCTCTCAGAATCTTCTTTACTATTCCTTCTAATAGCATCCAGTGTAGTAGAGGATAGACCAAGATAAAGACCAAGATTATAACTGACTCCGTAACCGTGTCTTCTGAGTAATTGAAGTACTTCAGGTAGATCAGTAACTATTAAATAATTTCATTTTAATAAAAGAAATAAACACTGAATTAAATATACTTGTCAGTTGATCGGGAGGATCTACTGGTACAGAAGAAGAGAGAGAAGAAGCAAACTTAGAAGCCATTTATTGAACTGCACGGCTGGGCTGACAATGATCCGGCCAGATCATAGATGGAGATATTAGAGTAAATGAATTTCATTTACTCTAATATCTATGATGCGATAGCGATATCGCAGCCCCACCCACTAACACAAGATGGCTACCATTAGACGATTGTTATCAATTGGCTCCAGATTTACTCCTTCACGTATCTCTAGTATAACCACCACCCGCCATTATACTTTAAACAGAATTGAAGATAAAAGAAATCAAGCTCATTTAGGAGGAGGAGAAGAAAGAATTAACAAACAACACAAAGGAGTAAATGAAATAATAATAATGTTTTTATATACATATATAAATTTAAAAATAATTTTTGTTGTTGTTTATTGCAGGGTAAACTGACAGGAAGAGAGAGGGTCCAGTTATTATTAGATGATGATTCATTCATTGAATATGATTCATTTGTTGAACACACTTGCACTGACTTTGATATGAATACTCCGAAAAATAAGGTAATTAATTATGGTGGGTGTGGTTTTTATATTATTATTATTAATAGATACCTGGTGATGGTGTGATAACTGGTCAAGGATTAATTAATGGACGTCCTGTCTTTGTATTTAGTCAAGTAATGAATTATAATTTATTATTATTATTATTATTATTATTAATAGGATTTCACGGTATTTGGTGGTAGTCTATCAAGTATGCATGCTCGTAAGATATGTAAGGTAATAATAATAATAATGAATATTAATGAACTACGTACATGTACAACATTTAATGGATGAAGCTATAGTAAATTGTTAATGATAATATTATACATTATATAGCACTGGATCTATGAACAGATAATGATAGATCCTGTACTATTAAATATCTATGCCATTTGACTCTCTTGTGGCTACAATGGACATATTGAACAATAGACTCATTCTTCATTAGTAATGCATGTTATGGTACAGTGTACTGGTATCTCTACTAATACTCATTAATGGAGGTAACATTCAGGTGCTGTACATGTAGACTAGCAGACACTCTTCAATGATGTTTGCTTGAGTGGGGCTCACCTGTACTACCCTAATTAATTGTGTTATTATTATTATTATTATTAATAGATAATGGATAAGGCAGTATCAGTAGGTGCTCCCATTATTGGTCTCAATGACTCTGGGGGTGCCAGGATACAAGAAGGGGTGGACTCACTAGCTGGATACGCTGACATTTTCCTGGTTAGTGTATTAGTGTATTAGTATTAGTATTTTTTTATTTGTTTGTTTGTTTGTTTGGTTGTTTATTTATTTATTTATTTACTTAATTATTTTTTTATTAATAGCGTAATGTGATGTCCTCAGGAGTAGTCCCACAGATATCATTAATAATGGGACCTTGTGCAGGTAAAGTATAGCCTCTCTTAATGGACACTCTCTATAGCGTACACCTCCATTTAACGGACAGCACCTAGTGTACCAATTACATTCCTTACTGTATAAAATAACCTCCACATAAAGGACACCTCTGTATAACAGAGACACTTTCAAAGTGTCCATTATATAGAGGCTAGTCTGTAGTTGTAATTGACCAATCAGATTGCTTGATTCTAAGTTTATTAATGGCTTACACTACCAAGTTTATCATCATCATCATCATTATTATTATTATCATTATTATTATTATTATCATTATTATTATTATTATTATTATTATTATTATTATTATTATTATTATCATTATTATTATTATTATTATTATTAATAGGTTGTTTGAATATTAATGCATCAGTTAAAGGTGCTCGGTTTGTTAGGTTCTGTGATACTTTTTGTATTCCACTGATAACCTTTGTTGATGTACCGGGATTTCTACCAGGTAACCATGAGTAATTATAATGTTTCCTGATACATATTGATGTCCTTATGCTGTGTAGAAAGTTTGAGCTGATTCTGACTTCAATTTTTCAAGTTACCGCCATTTTAAGAAAACGCCAAAATTCTGAAAAATACCCAAGGCTATAGCCCATGGTTTTTTCAAAAAATGGCTCTGAAATCACCCCAAATTTTTATTACATAAATAATAGTATAACAGAGACACAGTGTCCATTATATAGAGGCTAGTCTGTACATGTATTTGTATTTGACCTATCAGATTGCTTGATTTATATGGTTTACATGTACTTACATGTAGTACCAAGTTATTTATTATTATTATTATTATTATTATTATTATTATTATTATTATTAATAGATACCTGGTGATGGTGTTATAACTGGTCAAGGATTAATTAATAGACGTCCTGTCTTTGTATTTACAATGTAGTTGAGTAATGAATAATTATTTATTTTTATTTTTATTTTTTATTTATATTTAATTTAGTGGTTAGTACTGAAGTAGTTAGTACTGAAGTTAGTCCATCAGTATCAATAGGTAAAAATGAAGATAAGAATAAAATTAAAGTTGTTTTGATTTTATTGTTATTAGTAGCTCAAGAAGTAATTATTGATGATGATCCAGCATATGGTCAAGGTATACATGTATGAACAAAACAAATTTATTTATTTATTTTTATTGATTGTCTAGTTGAGAATACCATCAGGTCTAATGTCCAATTACTCACTGAAGTTAATCCAGCATACAGTACATGTAATGCTGTTAATGGACACAGTATTAGTAATGATGATGATGTAGTATATGAAGCTGT